TCTATATCATTAATTGGCGTACCCCATTCTGAATGAGCTTTTTATCTGCGTACAAAGAGACCGTGTTTCAATTGGAGTAATGAAAGAGACGAGGATACAGTCGGTGTAATGAAAATTATATCGCATATAATAAGGTCTTCTTATGCAAAATAAGACATCTAAAAAAACCGCGCCGTTTCCGTATCCACTGATTGGCGTATTCGTGTAACGGTTACTTTATCTCGAGGCAGAAAATATCGCGTCGCATGAAATTAATGAAGAACGCGTTGCAGACCGTGTCGCGGAACTTCTTTGAAACTCCAGCGCGTGTAATAATTAAGAGAGGGTCTCGATGTTTCGTTTCTGCCGACTTTAGTGCACACATTCGCTTAACGGATGTTTCATCTCGAGACGAACGCGTCGTTCTGTCGTATAATTAACGAGAGGAAGACACGATCAGAGTTGCGAAATATACTTTACACAACATCCCTGTGTTGCGCATTTAATTAACAAAGTTGAGGCAAATCTAACGCGCGGTTTCTGCCTTTATTAGCATTCCTTAATCTATTTATTTTATAACGAAACAGCAAGGAGACAGTATTGTGATGTGCCAAATGAAAGAAAATAAACTCAAAGAAAAATTTTAACAATCTCAAGTCGTAAGTTTTTTAACAAATACGATTTTTTTATAACAAAGACTTGATAATAAAAGTATTATAAAATGTCAAGATTTAAAGAATTTTAAAACAAGTATCATTGCCATTATGAATAAAATTTCAATGTTTTCGATGAAGTTTCCGCGTTCGTTTCGCTATCATCTGTCTTTAGAAGCACGTGCTGCACTCCGAAACTTTTAGCCGTAATCTCGCTGATACCGCGTGACTCGGAAACAGTATTCGATATATCGTAACATTTAAGAGACTCTCTCACTACTACGTCGTTCACTACATATGTCTGTCTCGCACGTCTCTCTTTATCGGAGCAAGAAGACCCGGCGTCTCCCTTCAATGAAAATGATAAGCTGGCACCCGAGCATTAACCGGCTGCATCTTCCTGCCCGTTGAGAGTTGCAGGCCGATGCGTGCAACCGGCTTCGAGATAATCTTCGCCCCTACCCCCCTTACCGGTCTTTCAATCCTCTTCCCCTTTATTTCCCTCACTCTTTCGTACCTCCCTCCTGTCGTCTGACGTTCTCTCTTTCGCTTCCTCGCTTCTGCCCTCGCAGTCGGGTGCGTGTAAACTTTTACGCGGCTTTTACGGCACTTAGTCGCGGCTCGTTCTGCACGGCAGTGGAGAGAAAAAGGCTGCTTCAGCGACCATTCATTCCGCAACGTCTGCAAGTGCGAGAATTATCGGTCTCGCTAGTGTCAGTGATTGGGGGGGTGCGATCTTTCGCGCGGTGACGACAAGTGCGACGCACGAACTAACTTCGACGACAAGCAATTAAGCTTGAAGTACAGATATCTCCGCGTCGCATTAGATATCTATCTCAATTAGACTTCTTATATTTTTATATCATGTTATAATTAATTCGATATATTAAGATAGATGTCTGCGCCGAGGCTATATATTGGTCGTATATATATAAATTTTGTTAAAATAACGAACTCTGTGTAACATATAATAAATCGTGCGAAGAGATTACACAGAACATCATTTATTAGTGCTATAATTACAAAGGCTGTAATAATAACACTTGTTACAGATAAGGCAATCTGTACTAAAATTTTGAATCATTAGTTTAATGTTTCAAAGTTGAATTTAAGTAGATCTCTTCGGGACAATAGAATTGTGTGTTTACAAATACGAAGAGATTTAAAAGATATTAGACCGAAAAAGTGTTTGTTGATTCAAAATTGGTGAGTTTCAAACTGTGCTTAACCGATGTACATTCGAAAAGACATTGCGATAATTTCGAGGAAAATGCATATTTTCTGATTTCTTTTTCGTTATATTTCATCAAAGCTATTTTTATGACTGAGTGAGAAAAAATAGTGAAATGCCATATAAAAAGACAAAGTACTTCAATTAATGTGGAGATACTACGAGGAAATTATAAAGTTAATTTTTATCGAGAGAAAATAAAAACACGTACTATTTACACGTACTATGTTATTCTCAATGTGATAAAAAATTGATTAAGGAATGCACGGAAATTGTAATTGTGGAAGAAGAAGATGATTCAGCAGATCTGAGGAAACACAAAATTGGAACACGCTTTCCATTAGAAATAACGACTCATTTTCTTTCTTATCGAATTTGACCTCAGATATTTCAACATGCACGATAACGTAACTAAATACGCTCCCGGCGGCAACTCGCGTTTGATTAAAGCCAAGAGCAATCCGAATGTGTCAAAAGCCCCGCTTTCGTCCATCAAGAAGCAGAATCAGTCGAATCAGACGACGAGTTCCGCGATTTCACCGAACAAGCCGCCTCGTTCCTCAAAGCCGCAGACGACTCCGAGGACATCAATCAAGATGTCCAGCGATGTGGTCAATCCATCGCGTCGTAGCTCCACCAATTCGGATTCCTCGAAGTGCCGACTTTCCTCGCCTCCGAAACCCGCAAAACGAGCCACGAACGAGACCCGACCGGACGCGGCAAAAACTGTCTCATCCGTCGCACGCAACGGCGATAAGAAGAAAGTCTGCAAATCGGCCAGCTCGTCTCTCTCGTGCACGATATTGGAGGACAGAACGTTGCTGAAGAAGGGTATCAATTATACGTCCGAGAAAATGCCGACAAAGTCTGAGATCGCGCGACGGAACGGCGCCGCGCTCGATCGTTCAATCAGTTTAAACTCCGTGTCTTTGGATAATCAGATATCTCCTTCGATCTCACCTCGATGGATACCGATCTCCGTGGAGAGAAGATTGCCGGAAAAGGCGAGGAAGGAAGAACCGCCGCGGAAGAGTCCGACGCTCATGAGCAGATCTACTAGTTTGTGGAGCGTTCATGCGCCGAGAGCGGATTGCAATCACTGCAAGAAGACTGACGCGAGGATAAGCTTGATCGCCAGGCCTAGCAAAATACCGCTTCCGGCGGCCCGGTCCAACGGTCTCGGCAGGTCTCTCGCCGATCTATCGCAAGTAGATTGCGTCCGAGAGCCGGCCGGCCAGATAAATTTCGAGCTCGATCTCGACGCCGCGTCGGACGAGCGTATCTACGAGAACTGCCGCGAGATCCTCGATCATACATGCTCAAAAATTTCGAGTGCCTCGAAAATGTCGACATCGACGAGCAATCTGGAAGAGAGAGCCGCGCGGCTGATGGCGCAGCTGGAAGACGACGTGGAATCCAAGGAGACGGTCATGTCTGTCGCGGATATCGCGGATGTCACTCCTCCGCGTAGAACGGAAATCTACGAGGATCGAGAGACGCTGTGCAATGGCAAAACCAACATCACTGCAGAAGAGTGTAATTCTCAAGATGACAAGAGCAACGAGGATGCGATCACCGATGAAGAAACAAAGACGAAGAAGACGACAGTAATTTTTACGGATAATAGTATAAAATCAGAAGAAGATTCCAAGAAAAAAGAGTCTGTGGTAAAAGAATGTAAGCTTAATCGAATAAAAAGCTACAAGAAGCCGGAAGAGCTCGTCGAAGAGTTGAAGAAAAACAAAAAAAACCCAAATTCTTATCAAGAACTGAGGCGCAATTGGGAAAGACAGATTCAAGGACTCGCGAGTGCAGATACCGAAACAAAAACAATCTGCGCCGCGACTTCCGGAAAAATAACCGTAAATTTGGCAAAGGCGGTTCGAGTCGAGAGCGACGTCGTCGACAGCACGCAGGAGACGAAGAAAAAGCAAGGCGTCGGCAAGAGAGCGAAGGATATCGAACACCTGGTGAATTTTTTCAACTGCAAGAACACCGAGGCTGTCAAGGAATCCCCGCGAGAGGCTCTGCTCAAGCCGAAGTCCGCGGATGCTCCTATCATTGGGAGGGGTGAGCTGAAGGGTAACAAGAGCGGGAACGAATACACCGGATACTCGTCGGATGGAAACTGCTCGGAGGATAGCGGTCACATGAGTAACGAGAACGAGGTGGAGTGGAAAGAAACTATTGACAATCAAAGTCAACGGGAAACTTCGAGCGACTTCAAAGAGCCGCAGTACTTCAGCAGACTCGATCGAGACGCGGACGACGACGCGAAAATCTTCAATTCGACAATTGTTAACAGACTGGCGGAACCTGAGAAGAAGAAGGTCGCTGTTAAAACAAGCACTTCGACGTCCAGCGGGGCCAGTAGCATCGATAGCTGCCGAGATGACACATCCCCGGAAAATGCACGACAGGTCTGTCTCGGGATAATTACGGTCTCGCACCGGTCGTTAGCTCTAAATACCGATAGCGCCCGGTAATTAGAAGCTCGACTGGATAATCAGACCGCGCTGATCGCTCTGCGTATCCAACATGCGATCGTTTATCGTTCATATCGCGGAAAGGAATACAATTTTATATGGTAGTAGTCGGGTTAATGATAATGTGCTGACAGATACGGCCATTAATATAACTCGCTATTAACTGGGCTTTCTTTCTTAAATTAATACTTTGATTTCGTAGATAGCAGGCTGCCGTTATTTTTTAACAATTATAATTTCTCAAAACATATTGATTATTTTATCTTATAAAACCGTAAAATATATTTAAAATGGAAAGTGGCTTTGTCAACGTACATTTGTTGCACAGGCTTATGTAAAATCATATTCTGTCTAATGCAATCGAGACGCCTCGACGGGTGGATTCACGCTTCAGAAACTATATATGTTCATCCTCTTCGTTTCTGCATAAGCGGCAGGAAACTGTGCCATGCATATTTTAACATTTTTCATCGCCCCTGAACTCACGTTTAATGCGCGGTTTATCTTATTCGTATGCACGCAACCAAGCATTTCTGTTAATAAATTATGCTCGATTAAGATTAAATTAATAATAGTGATGATACCAACGTTCCGTCAAGTATTAATTAATATATATCGAAGAAACTAAAAGACGTGTACTTTTGTTCGCAGATATTCTTCCGATCGGGCACCCTGGAACGATTGGAAGCTCAAAGGGACGAGAAGCTCACAGGTCACATAATCCTGCTGCAGGCGAGATGCAGAGGCTATCTGGCACGGCGCAAACTTAACACTTTAAAAGTAGGCCGCTTATTTTCTGTTTAAATTATTTCGAATAAAAAGATAAATATAGAAAGTTTTCAATTACTTGTGGGAAATTGCAAACAAACACTTTCGCTCATTTTACTCGATCAATGCAGAAATCGCGGCTCACGGTTCAAAATTGCAATCTCATTCATACTAATGGACATGAATTTACATTGTGTTTGCATTCGCAATGAGTTTATAAAAGCTTTTGATTTTTCAATTCAACAAATAAGAACATAAATAAAATATAGTCGATGTGTGTCTTCGCGACTTTTACATTCTCTTCGCTTTAGCGATAATTTATAATGATGGTAATAATTTATAATGATTTTAATCGTAAATTAATCTTTCCTACAGCTGCAAGATCTTGCAGTGCGATGCATCCAAAGGAACGTGAGGAAGCTAATGTCCGTGCGAGAATGGCCATGGTGGAGATTGTACGTGAAAGTCGCGCCCTTGTTGAACGTTCATCGGACCGAAGATCAACTAAAAGCGCGAACGGTGAGAAAAATATTTTCTACCTAGTTTATCCGCCGTTATTGTTCGCTAATGAATTGTTCCGTTTCAATAGGAAGAGCTCGAGCTTCTCAGGGCGAAGGTGGAGCGCTTGGAGCAGGAACGTAATCATCTCAAGCACGACAATGACAAGCTGGAAGCCAAGGTAAGCTTGGCGAATTTACTCGATGAATGCTATTGATGATTTCGATATGACAAGTTGCAATTACGAAATATTCGCGCGAGGCTGAAACGTCGCGCCTCGAACGCTCGTTACTTCAGCCGGCAACCGTGCCGCAAATTGCGCGCCTTTCTGTTCTGCCGTCCGTCATAACGATTTCGCGTGTGACCGCATGATGAATCTAATAGAGGCACTTTGGAAGGATGCATTAAGCCCAAACTGCCCGTTTAGGTATTCGCGGCACGCACACCGCGCAATTGGGTTAAGCACGCCAGACGGCGCGTGTCGAGCGTGCGCGACTATTATCGTGACTCGACCGGCAGACTGCACGTTGTACCATTCTAGTCCGCGGCTGGTACGCAAAAACGCTTGACATATCCTAATAAGGAAGACAATCAAGAAAACACTTTCTGCATCCTTAATAAGAAGTAATTAAACAAAGTCGTCGCGTTAATCATTTAAATTGTCTCGATTAACGTTGGAAATCTCCACTTCGAATTTTCACAGCACGGCGATTCTTATATTTCCGCTTCTCTCTGCCCGTTCTATTTTTACAAATGCACAGATCCTTCGAAGCTCTGTCGAAATTGTAGTACTATGTTTTCCTACTCTAGCAGCCGATATTTTTCTCGCAAAGTTTACGGTGGACCTGGCGAATGGCCAGAATAGCCGTCTCGCGCGCTTCTCTCCGCCTTTATCTCCCTCGCTGCTCCTCTCTTTCTCGCCGCCTTCCCCTTAGAATAACTCAGAGGTGACCGCCTCCTCTGCCGGACGCCTTCGGCGGCGAATTGGCCGACCCAGGAAGAGGCAGTTGCATCGCGACTCCTTGCCGACACGGGCGCCTTCGTCGTCGTTCGGCGTTACGCAATTCGCCGAAGTAATGTAACGAGTCTCCGGTATCAATCGACCGTTAAAATTCAGCTGCTGGATGAAGTTGCGAAAGAAAATAGCTTGAAATGTCAACCGCGACGATTTCGGCTCCGGTGGTTCATCCAATCCGTCGTCAGCTCCATAATTGGAACGATGCTTTGAACAGTAGGCTTTAATCATACATCGATATTCTTAAAATCCCTGGATTGTTAATCAAGATGCCCTCCGTGCCGATGAGGTATCCAGGCACCCCTCCCTCTCCCCTTCACGAAAACCGGCACCTTAACGCGTTGGAGAGCACGAGCTCCGACGAAACGCTCGATAGAAACAACTCGATGAGCAGCCTAACCAATGGCTTGCCGAATTCACCGAATCTCGCGAAAGGCCTGGCGAGAAGACCACCCTTGCCGCCGCATTGCAACCATAACAAGAGACCATCTAGCAGAGGGCACGTCGTCGCCAATTTGAATCCTATGATGCGGAGTCCTTCCCCCTGCAGCATCTCTTCTAGCGTATCCTACCGAGCGAAGTCCTTGTCGGGAATGAGATCGCCGTCCATCGCTTCCTCGCGAAGCGGCTCTTATCTGGGATCGCCGACCTTCTCGACACCGCCGCGAAGAACGTATCCTCGCGAGAGCGCGTGTTCGCCGTCGATGGAGGATGTTCTGGTCAAGGAACAGGCGCCGGTCGTCTTCGACGCGAGTCTCAACTTTGTCCTGGGCTGCGAGCGACAGAGAGTTAAACAATCCTTCACGCCTACCGCGTCTCATTTAGAGCCGTCCACCGCGTCGTCGTATCTTTCATCGAAGATCTCTCAGTTTCTGAAACGTACCGATCACATTATGGACGAATGGCGGAGTCTCGGTCATAAGGACGAAGCGGATGACGATCCGATAAGTTTACCGTATATGAGAGGTAAGCCGCGGGGCACGATTGGAAGAAGCCAGAGCGCCACGAATATCATGATACGCGGCTATCAATATTACAGCAGATCGAACAGTGCAGCGAGGAGCCCTTCGAGGCGCTCCTTGTCCCGCGCTTCGGAAGACGCCACTTTGTCGGACGGAATACAAGAGGTAATGTAACGTGCAAAGTTGAAAGATGATGGGCTTTAGATCTTTTCATTAAACGCAAAGAAGAATAAAAAGTTTTATTTAAAAAAAATACTACAAAAAACTAATAAAAAAATTAATAAAAAGAATCTCATAAAAAATCTAATAAAAAAATTAATAAAAGAACTTGTTATAAAAAAACTTTCTCGTTGCATTAAATAACACCACATACAATTCATATTTTACCTCAACTTCGGGAACGCTTAAAGCTGAAAGACGCAGAACGGCAAGTGACGGCGCCAGGCAGAAGTAACGATAATCCGCAATTCGCGTATAACGTATCATATTTGATTTCCTTATATAAGATATATTTTTTCTGTTCAAGCTGAGCGAGATGACCGCAGACTTCGCGGAGGAGCATTCTACATCGACGCTGGCGGCGGAAAGGATTGACGCCGAGACATCGGAGCGCCTGCGGCTCGAGCGTGAGCTGCAGGATGTAACCGAGGCCAATAAGAATCTCCAGCAGACGACCGAACGGCTGGAAATGGAATTACTTTATGCGAGGGCTGCCGATTTGAACGGAGTTGTTTCTGACGGCGAGGAATGCGAAGACGGCGGCGTTTATAGGCAACGGTACGAGCACGCTATCCGAGAACTTGAGTTCACGAAGAGAAAAATGGCGCAGCAGCACGAGGACGATCTCGAGCAACTGGTGGGGCTGAAAAAGCAATTAGAAAAAAAGGTACGCGTCAAATTATTCTTACATCTACGAGTCGTAAGCGTCATGTTGGCATAATATTCTCGCGTTTTTGAGCAGCTGGCCGACGCTTACGAAGAAGTGGAAGAGCAACGGCAAGTCGTCGGACAGTGGAAGCGGCGAGTTCAGAAACTGAACGGCGAGATGCACGATCTCAGACTGCTGTTGGAGGAACAGACCGCTAGGAACAATCTTCTCGAGAAGAAGCAACGCAAGTGAGTCGCGTAAAGAATAACTCCAAGGTGTTACGCTTTGTTTGCTTGTGCTTCAAGATGTATTGCCTTGCACAACTAATAGTCGACGAATCGCAGTATCGGGTGCTAGCTCGCTCTATTCTCATTTCATCCGCGGCAACAAGTGTCCCTGGCATCGCGCCAGGCCGCCAGCGCCACCCGATCCACACTGCCAGCAATGCGTCCGGCGTGTCTGTAAATCACGATTGACCGTTCGCGAAGATAGCTTCCTGTTAATCTAAATACAGCGTGCGCCCGCCGGCAGTTAAAGCCGATCTCGTTGCAAGCAGTGAAATTGGACTTGTTCCCGAAATCCTGTCAGAATTTTTTGTTCGATACCTATTCAATAACGAGATAATTTATTAGCTCTAACTTTTTTTTATTATAATGTCTTGCGCACTGTAAATGCCAAAATTTTTTTACAGCAAAAAATAGTTAAATTTTATCTTAAAATAGAGACTTTGTACAGTAAATCATTTCTAATGATATTTAAATAATTGAAAACTGTTTTGCGTATAATATCAAAGATATTTAAATAATCCTGATAATCCTAATAATTGCGTTTAGATTCGATTCGGAGACTCAGAATCTGATGAACGATCTTAGACAAGAGAAAGCGCAGCGTGAAAGATTAGCCAGAGAAAAGGAGATTGCGATCGCGGAAAAATTCACGGTGGAACAGAATCTAAGCGTGAGTACATTTTCCTTCTTGTTATCCAATTTCTCTTTCGTTTTCCCTACTTAAAATAACCGTATCATATATTTGCATATATTACATTTATAATATAGGACGCAAGACTAGAGATTGAACTGAAGGAGGAAAGACTTCGCACGTTAACTCAAGAATTGGAGGAGCTCACTTTCGGCGGTAAAACGGAAGAGGAAGTCGCGCAGCTAAAGAAGGCGAAGCACGAGCTGGAGAAACGTGCGAAGGATCAGGAAGAGGAGCTGGACGATCTAGCTGGTCAAGTGCAGTTGCTGGAACAGGCAAAGCTCAGATTGGAAATGAGTATCGAGCAGCAACGCAAGGAGATGCGCAAAGAGATGCAGCAGCGCGATGAGGAGCTGGAGGACGTTCGCGGAAACGCGCACAAAAAAGTCAAGGCTCTCGAGTCACAATTGGAGAACGAACATGAGGAGAGGACGATTTTACTGAGAGAAAAGCACGAATTGGAACGCCGTTTGGTGGCTTTAGAAGAACAAGACCGAGCCGATCGTGCGGCGGAAGCTGAAACTATGCAGAGGTAAGTTAATCAAACTTTTGCATTTATTTCTCCTCATTTTGTTCCGTTGTCTTATCGAAAATTTGGGATCTGGGTTTTAAAATAAACATTAAAATATAAATAATTAAAAAATTTGCATTACGTGTGTAAACAGGTTGAAGAGAGACCTGAAGAGGACAAAAGCGTTGCTCAGAGACGCGCAAACGATGCTCGACAGATCCAAGGGCGATTCGACAGGCAAAGCCGCGTTGCGCCAATTGAAAAATCAATTGGAAGACGCGGAATGCGCTCGGGCAGTGGCGATTAAAGCGAAACAAGCATTGGAACAAGAACTGAATGAAACGCAAGCGAGTTTAGAAGAAGCTATGCGACAACGTTCCGAGGCGGAAGAGCGGGCTAATGCGGCCAATCGCGAATGCTCAGAACTATTGTCTCAAGTGGAAGAAAATGAAGAGGAACTTGCAGAGGTACGTTATTTCATTCTGAGTTCAAACGAAACCTTTTTATTAAACATTCTTAGTTTTTATTTGAAACTGAAATAATTAATTAATTATGAGTCAATTTTCACGAAATACAATTTTTAACAACTCTAAAGTATACGAATTTTTAATTGTATTTTTTTAAAATAAAAATTATATAAAATAATTTCTAAAATGTATTTTAATCAAATCAGGTCTTGAAGAAATATCGAGCCGCGGTGCAGCAAGTTTCCGCGGAGCAAAACCAATTGCAAGAGGCACAAACGCAAATCGCTGCGCTTGAGGCGGAGAAGTCATCGCTAAAGGATCAACTGTCGGAACTAACACAAAGATTAGAATCAGTGGAGCAACTCGGTGATCCTACGGCGAACAGCCTTGCTACGAGACGCCTGGAGTTCCGCGCCAAGGAACTCGAAAGCAAGCTTGAACTGGAGCAAACGACAAGAGCACGTTTGGAGGTATTGTTGGAATTGCAATTTCATAAAATTAATTCTCTACTATTCTATTTAATTAAAGTTGCATAAAAATAAACTATACATATCAATTAAAAATTAATAATTTAATAAAATATAATTCATCAAATTGATTTATTCCAAAAAAATTGTAAATCTTAGTTAATGAAAATAAAGCACTAACTACTTTCCTCATTTCTGTTTTTTGCAGACGCAAATAGCACGATTGAAAGAAAGTGTCGATAAGCTACAGACTGAATCAGCCTTACTCAGAACAAAAGAACAGACCGCCCAGGATACAGCAAGGCGACTACAACGATCCTTGCGTGACGCGCGCGACGAAGCTAGCACAGCGATATCGCGCGAACAGGAGGCTATGCGCGCTCGTCGCGATATAGAGAAATCTTTGGAAGCCGCGGAAGCTGAAACCAAGGTTGCCAGAGATGATCTCAGACTAGCGTTACAGAGAATCGATGACTTACAGAGCGCGATTCAGGGAGAACTCGATTTAGACTGCAGCGAGGAAGCAACTAGCGAGAATAGCGATAGGTAAAAATATACAATATATAAAATAATAATTAAGAATATCTTAGAGAATGTTCAAAATATAATTTCAATATTTTGGTACGTCTGTTAATCCCAAAAAACTTTTCATTACTGTCCGATTTGGTTACGAGAAAAAAAATTTTTCTTTACAGTGATTGATCCGAGCCATCATCGGACCTCGAGTCCGACCAGAATGACGAAGGCATGACTGAATCAGGATCAATGAACCAGATTGTAGATGAACTTCCGCACACTGAAGCATCGAACAGAATATAAACGTTATAGACCGCCCGTATTTGATGTATGACCGACCATGAAAGTGACAAATTAGGATCATAATCCGGAGAGATGAAAGACTGGCGGAAGATTATAGGGCGGTATTAGCTCGCGAATGAACGATAAATTTCTGCAATGTTTTGTGCTACTCGAATCGAATACGGCGTTATCGAGGGAGTTAGCGCTCATTTTTCATCATAGGGAATAAAATCACCGCAAAGACGGATCAAACTAGCGAAAAAAAGGCTAGTCGGTGACGAAATCAAAGTTATGAAGTAAAGTTCGGGCTGCAGATTAAGCTGACGAATTGTGCGTGACTCTATGCGAGCGATGTTAAAAACTTTTTAGGTGCTAACTATGTATAATTCCCAGAAAATCTCGATGTCGTGGCTAGTTACGCACGCCGCGCCTGATCGTGCATCCGCGGTGCTATATTATCCTGTACGTTTTTTTTTTTAAATCGTCGACAAACAACGACGTTGTCCTTTTCCAGTCTTCCACAGGAATTCGAGCCATTTCATCGCAATTGCGATAACTGATGAGAATCGCGCGCATTGTTGCCGAACAAAAGACAAAATATATTTAATGAGAGAAAGCATTTTTCGCGAGAGTGAACAAAGCTTTGTTCCATTTATTAGGAAAGCATTAATGAGCATTTCGCAATAAACTTTGCGAAACAATAAATTAAAAAATTTTAATATTTTTAATATTAAAGTTACAGGACTTTAATTTTCACAAAATGCTTTTGTTCGACAACGTGATGTGCTGCGCGTATATTTTCTCACGCAGAATTAGCTCGAGGACGATCTTCTCCGTAGGAAAGGACATATATTTACGCTTTTTATCTTTGCGATTCACTGCCTAAAGGCTACGTTTCACATTTGTATAAAAAGGAGGGAAAAAAGAAATGGAAAGGCATGACAGGTACAAGGAATGCGTGCCACGACTCGAAGTGGGGCTTTGGTTTCGTGTAAGGACTCTCGTGTAACTTATTGCTTTGTAAAATGCAGATCTCCTATTTAATTATTTGGAAGTGTTTCTTCATCGTACCGCACCACCGCGCGAACCTCCCGACTCCCAGATTCCACCGCCGGAAATTTAATCGGCAAAGCGACGGACAAAAACTTGGCGGGAGACGGTCAAAGAAGAAGAAACAAAGATGAGACGTAGCCGACGCGAGTCGGTTATCAAATTAACCATTACACATAGAGCAGTTCCGCGCGTACACGCGATCGCTGCCGCGCGTCCTCCTTCGACTTTCTTCTTTGAACCGTTAGACATTGATTTCCCGCGGGATGGCCTCGCTCGCCAAAGTTCCGAACTAAAGTTAAGCTCTTTTCCTTCTGTTCACCGCGCTCCGTCTTCCCTCTTCGTTGCATTCTGCACTCCTTCGTCACTTCCGCTAGCTAGACTCTCTCGCAGTTAGATGAATAAAGCGAAGGGCGGCAATTAAATTGCGACTAAGTTGCTGTCGCTCCCATGACAACAGCAAAGACAACGAGGATGAATGCGCATTTGGACTACGAAATCGTTCTCTTCGCGAGGTAAGTCCTTTCAAGCCTATTCCAGCCGCGAAAGTAATTAAATCACGATAGCATCGCGCCGCGAATAAATCTCAGCGGAAGGCGTAAAAATCATTTAAAACTTTGCAGTAGTTTTCTTAACTTTTGTCCTTTTTATGAAAGATATATCGATTTCCGTTGTGGCGCAATTTGGACGCAGCCGGTGATATGTAATTCTATCTATTTACGTAACTCGATCGGTTCACGCGGCATCAATTGACTGCGTGTAATTCTTTTACTGTTTATTTAACTCATATTTAACTGTAGTATCAGCAAACAGTGGTTTTAGTATGTACACGTGTATATGCATATCGTATCGGGGGAATAAAAATTCAGTCTCGACATGGCTCCTCATTAGAGATTACGCTATATGCACGGTTTCTATTCGTGACTAACTACATGCTCCGATAAATTATCGCGCCATACGGGACTAATGCATAAGCGTGTGTGTCGAGAACCACGTAATCGTCGCTGTTAGCGAGTCTAAGAAGAATGCAGCGGCAAAGCCAGTGGCGGAAAAAGAGAAAATTACACGCAATTCTCGCAACATCGTTCACCGAGATGACTTTGATAAAATATATATTTCAAACTACATATCGTATGAATTTTTTAACAATAACGTCATGTGCTTTTACGAAACGCGCAATGTGCACTTTGAAAGATTTGCCGTATTAAGCAATATAATGACCTCGTTTCGCTTTAATGTAAATTTATCGTTTATTATCCCTAAAATTGTTTTAAAAACTGCTCCGAGATGGAATAAATTTCATGGAATAAATTTCGCGTCATAAATGCGGAGCAATAAACTGTTTGAAGCTGAAACGATCGATTAATTCCAGCGTTTATTAATTCGTCGTAACATATCTCGCAATTGATTTGTATCTATTCATCCGGTAATTCGCATCGTAGTCATTGATTGCTGACTAATCCATTCGCATAGAAAGCAAAAGCTGTGCGAGCTTATGCGGCTTAATATCGCAACATTATGGAGCTTAGTCTAGTGAATATCAATTATGCAAGTAAACTATTTATTTATAAAAATTGTTATTGAAACCCATACAGACTAGACTAGAAACCCAACAAGATTATGAATAGTTCATTTCATGATAAGATTCGGGTTTTTATAAACTAAAATTTTAGACTCATAAAAATTCTTGCGGTAATAATAAACAGCTATTAATTAATTTTTTATTATTAAAATTCCAATATCGATTATGGGTTGTGCAATGCTTATAAAGCATTATAAAGAGCAATAAACAACGAATGAAACATAAATAATAAATACGATTTTTATTTTAATTGCAGCGCTGAGAAAATATTTACGCGCTTTCAGATGTTTGTAAATGAATTGATTTCTGCACGGTATCGTTAAATATGAAAGTCGCGGTTTTTCCAAAGAACCATAAATATCTTTAATGAGTGTTTTATGCACCCATGGTTTTTCGCAAAGCTCGTCAGCAATTCATTCTAATTCACTGCTTTGAACAAAGTACTAAAAATAAAGTAATAAAATGCCTAGACACGCATGTTGTTAGCAGATTCGTACCTTCATAAACGAAGTTAAAAATACAAATTTTAATATGAGGTCTACGTAATTACGACGTGCTAGCACTTATTAGCTCTTGCCGAGTTATTCGCGAGAATTTACAGCAATATATATAAAAAGAAATGTACGTAGTCGACTCTACTGGAAGAATTAATTTTCCCTCCCTCCCTCCCCCCCTCTCTCTTTTTCCCGTCCTACTTCTGCACTCTAGAAACTCTATAAAAACCGTAGTACTCCTGTTATGCGGTTTATAAAGTAGCAGATTAGAAAATTTATCGCTGAAATTCGTTATTGTTAGCAAATAATATCCTTAAACGTAAAATACGCAACTTTACGACATTCTGTGCACAGCGTAACCCATAAACCGTTTAATTGTAAATTTTTGAAACGCAGCAGATATGATCCACGTGACACAAAGTCGATATAGATCAGGGATTACCGCAAACCATGTCTTATATACAGCAAGCGTGTTACATACGCGTTACATAGCGCCTCATGAATTTTTCATCGCGAACATGTAACCGTCCGCGGACCCGTGAAACGTCGAAAGTCATTGCTCTTGTCGGGAGATCAATAAGAGGGTGAAAAATCGCGCGTCTCGAAAAGATTAATGTCTTACATAATCCCGCATCAGCGCTGATTTATTCCGCATAATACGACGTGTAGCGCACTCGTTACGGCGGCATAGTGCCGCGAAATCGAACGTGACTCGTCTGAAACCTGACCGAGGCAAAATTCATACCAATGCGAATTTAATCAAACCGGCTTCTGTACATTTACGACGGGGATCGTAAAATCTTCTTACAAGAAATCCTCCCCGACAGCTATTTTTCGAACTCCGTTAAATTCTTATCGCAAGAACCTGTTAACTGTCATGCAAAAAACTAATAAACGGATCTTTTTCTTCACTTTCATTATCTCTTATTCTTTGATATGAAAAAAAGGAGGTTTAATGGATGCCTGAATGCTCCGGATGGATAAATGGATTTATCAGTAAAACAAAATTTTTTATATATATTTTTTTTCTAAAAAATATATATAAAAAAAATAAAATGCTGATATTTCATCGAAATCGTTACACGAGCTTTGAATGTCACCCTGTATCTCGATATAGTGCTTTATATACTCGCCGATACGCGTGGTAACATGTAGATAGACTATACAAAGCAACAGTACACGCGAACTACGAAAGAAACAAATAAAAATGAAATTTTTTCAAGTTATACAAACATTTATAGCATTTCGAATAGATAATCTGTGATTGCTCGCGGGAACTAAATCACGTCTTTTTATCGCACATAAATCGTTATAATCGGATGAATCGTTTGGATACTACAAACACGGGTTAAATTTTTCCATACATAAATTATAAAGATATGAAAAGATATTTTAATCTCTCGATCGGAAACAACAAATATTCAATACGGAACGGAAAGCGGGCGTAACATTAGCATGCGGACAAGCAAATAGACGCGCGCCCTTTGACTCGAAGCGCAGGAAGGAGTCAAAAGAGGCGAGAGGACGAGGTCGATATTTTCACCAAGCTCGTTTCACCGAGCAAATGGCGTGCGCGCCGCTTTAAATTTTAATCACACCGAACGGCAGGCGCCCTGCACACCCGCATTTATAAAGGTGACATAATGAGCGCGCGAGCGCGCGGACTCCGAGCGACGCCGATTAACCGAGGATTACTTTAATTAACTTTACGTTCGCGGGATAACGACGCGGAGCGCAGCCAACCGACGTTCAAGCCCGAACGGAAAGGCGGTACCGATGCGATTCTCAGCCGAGAGACGCGAAACGCGCCGCGTTAAGATCGAAGATTTGTGCTCGGAGGCTTCGAAGGCGCAACCGGCACAGCAACCGGTTGCTGAACAGAAACGGTTAAGATAATGACAATTTACTTGATTACAAGGGACACAGGCTGCAGCAATTTGTCGCGAAATGCATTAAGTCGGTGACGTGCCATTACTTTATTCGAGAAAGTGGAATGGAATGAAATGGGTATCTGTTTAGTATAAATTTCTCAAGATTCATAAGCGATTAGAATGTTGAGCGAATGTTGAGAATGTTCACTTCTTAGAGATAATAAGAAAAATAAAACTGATAGCAAGTAGTATGAAACAGCGATGTACAGAATTAATAAAAAACAAATATTTTCGTACATAAGCCTGACGCCAGAGCTTAATTCCAGTGCGAATGATATTCTCGACAAACCTTAGAATTAGCGAGTTTCAAAGTCCAAATTGAATTCAAGCTATTATCGTATGCACCGGCAAACAAAAGCGGATCATAATTGTTTGTGAATTGTTCGAGAAATTCTTATGAAACTGTTATTGCCCCATTATAAAAAAGATCAATTTTCAAAATGAAGCAACTCGAATCGAGTTACACGAAACAACAAAATGTGCAAGAAAATTTATGCAACTCTAAGACTTGGTTCTATTTATCCAACTTTTTTTTCAGTGTAAGATAAGAATACCTTACGTTGTGAAATAAACATGCCTTGCATTCGAATTGTTTCAACTGATATTTTTTTATAGTGTACTAATGACGATGAAGAGATCTTGAACTCACAGAAAGATTTATCTCAACGCGCAATCAATTGTTAATATTCATAAATTACCGATGCATTAAAAGTGACGGTTTTATATGCGTAACATGAAACAATATTCTTTTTGTGATATAACAAGCATAAAATGTATCACGTTGATAACAATACCGCCGGGAGCGTATAGGAAATTTTATATTGAAATATTCGATAACTATTTTGAAATAAAAGAAAAAAACATTAGAAACATGAACATGTTTGTTCCAATGCAAACAGTTCGGGCACTAACAATCTGTTTGACGATTCCATATACGTGAATCGACATGACTGTAATAAATTCAGAATATCAATCATCCGCTCTTCCAAATTGATACAGTTTTCTATTAATATTTTTGACAATTCAACATGAATATACACGCCGCTTACAAATGTAAATTTCTATCACGTTGGAATTACTCGTGTATTTGCCAATCGAAACCAAAGCTTGTACAGAAATTAATCACGGAACAAGCACAACGTGTCTCTCGTCGCTCGTTAATAATATATCAAGCCTGATCCGTCAGTGCTTTTATGATTAATTAAGTTGACACACGTGTTGAACTACTGTGAATCTTAGCAGTTAGAAAGCAGTGTAAACTGCAACGATGGCGTTCACGTCTGACTGGAATTTCAATAGTTTACGTCGCAAAAAAAAACAAATTAATTCTAAATATTCGAATTGCTCGAATAAATGATAATTGTTAATTACATGACATTATCGAGTATATAAATTTCTCAAACCAAAAATTTCTTCAGACAAGTTTGCTTCCATTCAAAATGATAGATGCGAAAAAAAGATACAGAATACGATTATTATGATGCTGTTTAAATTACAACATAAATAAATAATTTGCTTGATTGCGATCACAGTTTAGTTTACGTATGTGACGCAACAGAAGAAGTTCTACGAATCATCAACTGCTGTAAAGCCGCAGCTTTGGAACGTCGAATTATCCTGGATCGCGCGTATTCCAACAGAACCGAAACTATCCGCTCTGAAACGCAATCAGCTTAACTCTGAAACGCAATAAATCTCTTTGACGCATCGTGTGCTTGTTGTTCCTGTTATTGAATCGCGCGATTAAGACCCCGGTCGATCGATTGCCTTTTTCATCAGTAGAAGCGGAAAGATTGACGCAAAAGTCTCTCTGGGCCGACCTTCGCCAATTCGAAAGAAAAAAGGAGAACCGAGACGAGGTTCCTATTGCGCGTGTTTCTCTTGCCGAGTGTACGCTAATCGGCTTCGACGATAGACGGGATGGGATTCGAATAAATCAGGTCGCTTATGGGAATCGAATGAATGGCTTCAGCTTCACGTGTTTAACATTGCTCCCTGAAGATAATTAATAATTAATATCGTCTATTCTCACATCTGTTTGTTTGAACAAGACATACACGAGATAAATTGCTGTACACCTTCATGAACTCAGTCGTATGAACAGACAAGGTTTACAACTACAAATATGGATTTTCACTACCGAGATAGCGCGAAGCACGGAGATAAGGGAACAAAGGAAGCATTAGGATGCGGTCTCCTCTCTATTCCCGAACGACAAGACGCATCGTCATAAGCGGACAACGATCGGCCGCCTGTTGCTCGTCGCCAGTCAGTGAAAGAAGACGCGAATCGCACGAGTCTGTAATGCGCGTACGGACTTGTAATTAACGACAATCGGATTAAAGCCAATTGGACATGAAGGCGTGTTTGTGGGTCGTCATCTGTGCTACAGCTCTTTAGCGCTGGTTATGAAGCAACAGATAAATGGACGTACCGATAAGACGTGGCTGACTTCATTGTCGATTTAACGCGACTTCGAATTCGTCGATTCGAACCAGTCGCGTCTGTCAGTTGTAAAAAAACAAACACATCACGGAAACTGCCGTTGGAAGTGATAAACGGTTAGTAATTAGCCGCCCGATCATGACCTTCACAAAACCGAACTAATCAGCGATGCGCACGTCGCGAAACGAATAGATGCGGGTAGAGCGGCGAATTAATAAAAGCTGAGTAGATTATTTGAGATTGCTAGTTTGTAATATAAAGCGTACGATTGCGCGACGAGAGCGCATCACCGACAGAAATCTTCGCAAACACAATCAACAATTTCGCCGGAATAAAGTTTCAAATGAATATTATATTACGTAGTGGGGATTACAGTGAAGAGTGTTATTGTTATTGTTTGTCTCAATTGCTTTCGAAATTCATTTCAGTTTCATAATCCAGAGTGTCAAAGCGATATAAAAACAAGAATTTTAATATATCGCCGTTGAAAGCCATAAAATAAAGTTCAAAAATTATTAAATAATTGTATAAATTTTTATACTTGAAATTATTAACAATCACAAAACATTTGGAAATTTATGATTACAAAGTTTGAAAATTTCAGTGATTATTAACCGCGAAAAGAAGCGAGTGCCGATCATATTTTATATATTTCAACTGGAAGTATCGAGAGAGATATCGGCGTGACCTAAAACTAAGAGCACTCGATGAAGCTCGATGAAACTACTTGTTGGATTCATCGTTGAAGCCTGAAATTCCGGAATCGTCGGAAGAAATAGGACAGCCGTTCCATTCTGGTCTCACATGGCAGCGACCGCGGATGTAAGTGACACAGTTTTGCTGGCGCTCTGCAGTTTCAATGCGTCGCTGCTCTGATTTCTCTCGTCATCGCGTAAACAGACAAACTGAAATGCTGCTACCAATCGCTAATGCGCAAATCAATAACTGAGTCAATTAATGATTGTATATTTCATTGTTAATTTCATCACACGCAAGAGCTAATTACTCGCATTGCTGAATAAAGATTTCCCGATAATTCTTCTCACATTTTTAACACATTAATTATCAAATATTGGATTTCTAGCAATATAAAATACAATTTGCTACAAATCTTAATTTACTCTCAAATATTTCTGTTAACTTTTGCTGCGTAATTATGTTACTCGAGATATAACTGCAATCAGTCGTCACAGTAATCGCTTTCACTGAATTGCCACTATCTAAAGTGCGATAATTCAAGTGGACTACATTGCTCAATCATTTTTTGGATTTCCTTATTCATTTAGAAAAATAATTAGAACAGTTACTTCACAATCAACTTCTTCACGATCGCGACGTGTGAGAGGTCATCAACCAACGACCTCCAGAGTCTCAACGATTATAAATACCGCGGTTGGTAGGGATCGTAAATGCATGGTATGTCGGAAGAGTGACAGAAAAAGAAAAAAAAAGAAAAAAAAGAAAAAAAGTAAAGAAGCAACCATGCGTACGCGAGCGCGAAAGCAGACACAAGTGTTGGCGCTTGCGCATTTTCCAATGTATCCGGTTCCGTGGGCACCGTCGTAAGATAATACCGACGAAATCGTGAGAGTGGTCGTCCTCGAATCCGGGAAGAGTGGTCAGTCGATTGCGGCACGTTGTTTTTAGATCACACGCCTTTTAAGGGGGTCAGAGCGCGGAGGAGACATGAGAGGAACGACGGATCCGCTAGTGAGTATCGATCTCACGCGACGTTCGTTTTGTCGAACCCGTGGCATTTCGCGTTCCTCGAGGTGTGTCATCCTTCTTAGCCGCGTGCCATATAAAATTCGTTCCGATTCTGGCTGCGAGGTTATATTTGTGTAGGCGTACACGCGCGCACGCGGAGGAAACAGCGATACCATTTTTGCGAAAGCATAATACGCTTGCGCAAACGTGCGTGGTACAACGATGTTGTTCAATGTTCGCTGGTGAATTTCTATGGAATTTTCCGGTTTTTTTCCCGGTACTGGATATAAAAAGATTATGATTGTATTGCCGCGAGCGAAACGGCATCTACGCAGAGATCAGAAAATATAATTCGATGTACATCGCTCCTTACGAAGCAGAAAAATATACACAGAACGGACGGCGGAGTTGCAAGATTTCGCTGTAATTTACTAATTATATCCGGCAAAATATGATCCGTATACTATTTCTGATATAACTCCCGGCAAATAAAATTTACTACAGCTGTAAGCACTATTCACTCGCAAAGCATCGCGTTTCAAACGAAATCGCTCGTGCAAATCAGGAAATTCGACTTCCTATTCATGTCCGTTTAAAAAGTCGAAAAAATGTTATCAAATATAAATACCAAAATAAAAGTCTCCTAAAATAATTAGTTGTAATCTGTTATAAATGTGCCGCGTATTGCTGTAACCTTGTTAATAATTCGGCGTATACAAAATGGTGGGTCATTGCCCTCATCAGAGTGCGTTGTGTAACGAGTGTTGTGTGCGCGTGGCGATAAACAGGTTTATTTGAGATAACTTTTCGAAGATAAACTCGAGACGAAGAATCATCCTGTCACAAGGAAAAAATGGGTATTCCGTTCAATATCAGTCTCAGGCATTTTGCGGCGCAAATGATCCGCGATGGCTCCGGAAAAGCCAAGATGCGCGTAAATTTCGCGCTGGTGAGTATCACGAAGTAAAAGCCGAGATACGTTCACCGTTGCACGCTCGCTTATCGAGTCGTTGCTCTTGCGTGCACTGAACCATCGCGATAAGTCCATGTAGCTGCTGCTGTGGCTGATGAGAACCCGGCTAGGTTATGTCGTGAAGTGAACACGCGACCACAAAGAGCGGCGTATGGCTTTGAAAACAGTGGAGCGCATGTGCACTGGATCGCGGCGTTATCGTGGCGCCAGGCTTAATCGGAGAACGCGGAAGACCGCGGTTGCGCTTTGCGCATATATTCTTGTCGCATTATGTTTCATTAGACGACGACTCCTTTTCCGAGGATGTATATACGGTTTTTGGCATGGAAAACGAGGACAAATCTTTCGCATCCTGATATAGCAGCGCAAAAGCTTGCGGAGATCACTGATTCTTCGAAATGTCTGAGCTTTTCAAAAGTAAAACGCGGTTTCTATTTGATTCTTCACATACCACATTAATCACTATCACCTGTTGCTTCTCACTCCGGAAAAGACTTCTGCATTCTGTCACGCGCAAGGAGATGTATGTGCAAGTATCACGATCGCTGTACTTCGACTCGAGCTTGCAGAAATATTTCACATTGACAGTAGAAAATCAAGGGATAATTTTTTTTATCACCAGCACTGCTTATTATGCAATTTTAAATTAAAAAGTTTTTAAACAATGTCATCTTATTTTTGCTAAGAAAGAGAGCTGCATTATGTTTATATCAAGCAGCTTAAAATAAGCAGCGCAAGAGCTTTCGCCCTTCTAAAAAAATCAATACTTATTTCTCCCGCAGATCGGCGTGTTAAAGGAGAGTGGATCGAAGGGGGAGATCGTGACGCAAGCTTCATCTTTCCAGGAAAAATATCACGACGGTAAACGGACGCAATGGAGACAATGGCTGGCATGCATATCAGGTTCGTGTTTCATATTTCACAAGACATCATAAACCTCTAAAAGCGGACAATCAATCGTTCGATCAACCGTTATTAATCTTCCATCAATCTTCGTTCCGCAGCAACTCTGTCCATGGTGGCTGTCGGTACCGTTTACGGATGGACCACCACGTCGCTCTCGCGACTCACATCCGGCGCCAGCGATATACCTGTCAAAATAACCGACGACGAGAGTTCGTGGATCGTATCGCTGACGGTAATCGGTTCCATGATCGGTCCGTTCCTCGGCGCGAGCCTCGCCGATCGATACGGCCGTAAGAGATGTCTTCTGTTCGCCAGCTGCTTCTTCATCATCGGTTGGACCATCGTGTTCTTCGCGCAGAGCGTCGCGGCCCTCTACATCTCCAGAGTGATCCTCGGCATCGGCGTGGGCATCTCATACACGACGAATCCGATGTACGTGTCGGAGGTCGCTGATGTCGGAATCAGGGGCGCCCTCGGCACATTAATCGCCGTGAATGTGTTCACCGGCTCCCTACTGACCTGCAGCATCGGTCCCTGGGTGTCTTATCGAGTCTTGGCAGCCATCCTCCTCGCGGTGCCCATCCTCTTCGTGGCATGCTTCTGTTGGTTTCCCGAGACGCCCGCTTTCCTCGCTGCCAGAGGTCGCAAAGCGGAAGCCACCAGATCCTTGGCGTTCTTCAAGGGAATTCGCGATCGCGAAGAAGCGAGAAGAGAACTCGAGCACGCGCTGCGCAGCGTTTTTATCGAAGACGTTTGTGACAACACCCCGGTAACCGGACCCGGAGCTAGAACCGAACCGGTCAAACGTAGCTGGATGGCTAAACTAAAATTGATGATGTTACCTAGCAACGCCCGTGCCCTCGGCATCATACTCGGCCTGGTAGCAGCGCAGCAGCTCAGCGGAAATTTCAGTACTATGCAATATCTCGAAGTGCTCTTCAAAAGAGCGGCCACCGGCATCGATTCCAATCTGGCTACGATACTCGTGCTGGCTGTCGGTCTCGTCGCGGGCGGATTATCAACCGCGACCGTCGAGGGCGCGGGTAGACGCCCTCTGCTGGTCGCTTCCACTCTCGGATCTTCCGTTACTCTGGCGATCCTGGCGATATATCTCATGTTGGACGGCAGAGGCGTCGATGTGTCCGCGGCGAATCTTCTTCCGGTCATCGACGTGATCGCCTTTCAAGTGGCCTTCCAGATCGGATTGGGCACGTTGCCAAGCGCGCTCATCGGCGAAATGTTCCCCACGGAAGTGAAGGCGTTCGCCGGCGCAGTCATCACTATCTTCGACGGTTTGCTCGGTTTTGCTGTCTCCAAGCTATATCAAGTAATCGGTGACTCGTTAGGTGCCGACACTGTCTACTACTTCTTCGCGGTGTCGTGCTTGCTGGCATTCGTGATGGTAATATTCGTCGTGCCCGAGACGAAGGGCCGGACGTTCCGTGAGATTCAGGAACTTCTCGCGGGAAATAGCGAGAAGAAGGCGGAGATTGGTGATGGTTCGCAGGATCAGAGTAACATAGCGTGACAGAGAGGACCGCGCCGCGCTCCTTTTCCGGACACGGTGCGAACTTATTCAGCCGACTTATTCGTCAGACGTTCTTCTCAAGGCGACATGGACTTTGAAACGACGATTACTTACTTTTACTTGTATATACTTACTCTTACTTGTAGGTTTTTATGCGTTTTATGCGATAAAAAGCGGAGCGCTAAGGCAAAATCGTCTTTGCGCGGCTTGCGTTCTCTACGATTTTTCTCGTACCTGCCATCGGGGAATAAAGTTATTAAAATTGTTTTCACCGCATAAATCCATGCTGACCTCGACAGTTCCATTCGTGTTCTTTCAATTGTGAATATTTTCCACCAGTATTTCCATAATTTCACTATTTATTTATTAAAACTTCTGTGCGCGAAATACTGCCTTTATGATACGGCTTTTCTTTTTTTTTTCCTCGCGCCGAATGTTACACAGATCAGATATTTAGCGGGACGTCAGACTTTCTCTCTTTAGAGTTTCTCGTGCATACAAGATAAAATATTTAAGCAAGGAAAAGTGAGGGAGAGAAAGAAATGGAAATAAAAAGGACTGGCAAGTGAAAATTTCTAGTAAACACCGCATCTCTTATACGAGAGCATAAAAATCGTATAAACAGCGGTTAAATATTGAAATGAAGACAGAAAAGGGCGTCTGAAAAATCACGAAAATGTTCCGCAGTAAGAAAAAAGGAAATAAAGAGAAACCAGAGTTGCAGTGTCGTCGACAGAAAAGCGACTTCAAGCTTTTATATATAACTGTTAACTACATACACATTTTTTCTGCATTGTTACATATTGAATAACCGGTAAAACTTGAATATAATTTTTAATAATGTTCTTACGAGCCAAACAACCAAGGAAAAGCAACTCGAGGCAACAATATTTATAACTTGACGAGAGTAATAAAAAAGAATGATAGAAAATATGTGTGTAGTTACAGAATATATCCGTAAACATGACGCAATGATTTTTTCTGGGTAAATTTAGATAAAAGTAAAAATTTCAATTTGTGAAACATCCGGTATATAAGGAGTACAATCCTGGTCTCTCGCATAGCTCACGGGCAGTGAATGAAAAACAACGGTCAAGCGCGTATTCTAAAACAAAGAATTGGCAGCTATCAGCTTTCAAACGCGTTTGTTCGTGTAAACAGAAAGATTAAAAAACAATACGTACGCTCTTTTGCACGTGAAGTAAAGTTAAAAAAGGACATTTTGATATGGTAGGATTTTTGCAATAAATATAATAGTCACTTCTTTGAATTGACGTCTGAAATTGCCTTATGTATATAAAGAGAGAATAATATAAAGTTGATTAAAGATTGAAAAAATATTAACGAAAGATCAAAGCACGAAGAAATTGCTTCACTGCGTTGCCTTGTAAAAAGCAATAAATAGCGAAATCAATGAACGACTGGTTGAATTCTCAAAGAGCAAGAAAACGTTACGTTAGATGATATCCATCCGAAATTTTATTTCTTCCATGATGCGTTAATAAAGCCATAGTAGTGCCGCAATTGACAATAGACATTTTAATTTATTTCCTCGTATTCCACGCAGCTGGCGCATATTATTTTGAGCTCGCGATATGCGTCGTCCATTTATTCATTAAATAAAATAGTGCGACGTAGCTAAAGTAATTAGTGGACCGGTAAAAATAAAAAAAAATAAAAAAAACACGTACGGTATAATTAATCTAATATATGGTGAGACAAGTGCAAAGTATATATTTGTTTGATCGGAAAAGATAGAACCTACTTCGGCAAATGGAAAGAATAATTTCTGCCATCGCTTGCTGAGTACAGAAATGATGACAAAGAATCATAAATGTAGCGAGGAGATGCGGAATCGTTCGATAGAGAGCAGAAAACTTCGCGTACACTTTCCGTATTGCGAGCGGAGCGAGTGGAACCCGTATATCGATATAACGCAATTGTTGCAGCCAGCGCTCTTATGGCGATGGCATGCGGCGGATGGTTTCATCTTAAAATGGTCCGTATCTAGATCGATTCGTACTATCGAAATGGCGTATTATTAAATTCCGATTTCTGCAATATTTCCCGGATATAAAATCGTACAAATAAATTCTACGAATAATGAACTGCGACTGCGGGAAATTGATGGAAAAATAAAAAAAAATAATCCACAACGAAATAGCTATGCGCATTTTTAATTTATTGAAAGCTGCATCTCGCGTGCGCGCGATTCTAGAATTTCGTGGTGCCGCAATTCTTTTTTCAGAAAATTATGGCTTTCCCATTCCACCTTCCGATCGCTCACTGCAAACACGCAGCTTTCTGATACGTCAAAGACTATAGCGCTGCATTGTGCGGTGCGCGTATCAACGGTCCTGTTGTTCCCGGGGAAACAATGAAGGACCCGGATACCTACCCCAGACCGTTTCCCGACACTTTTGCCGACACCGGAACGATTTACGCGGCCGATCGCGAACTGCGGCGGCAAAGGATTAGGGTGAATTAACGTCCCGGCCCCGGATGTCGTTGAAACTTGCAAACGCCTCCGGCTACGATCGCGTCCGCAATTTTTTTTTCTCCTCCCTCCGCTGTTATCCGCCATCCCTTTTTCCGACCCGCTTTGTTCAACTCTTCGAAATGGCGAGCCCGGTAGAGCTGTAGTTTTATTCTACAGCCGGCGTCGTGCACCGAGAGAGCTACCGCGTATAGCAATGGTAACGACGATCGCTAGACGAGGAGAATACGGCGACATGCTGCGAACGAGCTTGTAAAACGATCGGGATTTTCTCCGCGCGGACCAGATGTAACCCGCAGCGACACGGCCAACGCAGTATTCGAATTTATATTCGCCGATTTTTTCCGTAAACAATACCGTGCGGTTGAACAGTCCGGCAGAAGTATGAAATATGCATGATATTATTGGGGAGAAAAAAAATAAACGCGTATGAGTGAGCCGCGGAGGAATTAAAGGTACACGGTTATGGAAATAACACAAAATGCCATCGCTGATCAACGATGGTAATTTTATATTTGCCGTAACTTTATATTCATCATAATTAACTTTTTCATTCCTGCTATAATCATGTGATTATTTACTAAAAATTGAAAACTTACGTAAGAAGACTTGAAGCAAACTTAAATTATTTTCAACACTCGTTACGATATCGCTAAAATGCCTTCTCTAACTGCTTTTAGACATGGTTTATTTTTCGAAGTGATCTGGAAATTCCAGACGCCGGTTATTACGACGCCATATGACGCGTGCATCAGGCGAAACTTCATAAAAGTAAATTACGGATATTTTCCGTTCTGACCGGCTAATTCGATTGTCGAGGCCCTACTGTAATTCAATTTAGCCGCCACTCCAAGTATCGATGCGAGTATCGAACAAAAACGAAAAGGAAAGCGAGCCGCCTCACTTTACTTCATGCTTCGGGCTCGATTCAGGAAAGCTCATTGTATCCTTCTTCGCAGTTGCATCGGTTTTCTTGATACGCAAGCTACGAGAAGTAAGTGGGAAGAAAATTCGCAGACGCTCGCGCAAGAGCGCTTTTTCTGTACCATATCACAGAACGTAGCTCGTTGCGACATTCGCTGTGCTCTTTTCCCTTGTTATTTTTCTTTTCGTTGAGAAACGACATAAATCTTCCTACGGGATCCATTTCTCTCACGCCTTCTCTCTTTCTGCTATTCAATAAGCTCGCTAGCTCGTTAAGAAACATTGCATTACAAGCATTACATTAACTTAACACAACCGGAATTCTATCATTAATAGAGGTAGAGAAAAGAATGGAAGAAAGATAAGGTGTGAAAAGATTCCACAAAGCTATAAAAGAATGTTGTAAATATTGAATTGCGTTTTTTTACTGGAAAGGATACGGTCGAAGAAAAACCACCAAGTATTGACAGAATACGTAGGAACGCGGGAAAGGTATGTATGCAGACAAATAGTCACATAGATGCCGGCAGAATATAGGTTTTCATGGGATATAAAATAAAGAGAGAAAGAAAAAGAGAAAACAAGAGAAAGCTGTGTGTGCTTGCGCCAAATCTTCCGACTCTCGCGAAGAGGCCTCGATGTCGGCCGACTGCCAAAGTTATAAATTTATTGCGCTGGAGATGGCAAAGGACTAGAAGTAATCCTAATCCTGATAAGAACTCAACACATTTATTTCTTTGAATTTCCAAAATAAATTCCAACAAATTGAAAATATCTAATAAAAAGTAATTTTTAATTAAAATATAAACCTTTAAATTATTCATGTCGAGCAGACAATTAAAATTAAATTAAAATATAGCTCATCTGTAACGATTTATCGAACTGTTTGCTTGATTCTTAAGTGATCTACATCTGAATAAAATCCTGCTTCTCTCCGTCTCTCTTTCTCATTTTTTTATCGTGAACGTACTTTCTTTCAAGTCTCTCCTCTGCTTCTATCCATACAAAAGGCACGTCGAATGTATGTATCAACTGATTTTATCGGTGAATGTCTATTCGACCCTTAGGACGCATGCGGGGAAAACGAAAGCCGATACACATCGATAACAGGATATGTCGCCGTGAACAAGCAGTGCTTCGTCGACCAAATAACGACGCCCTGCGTTTCTGTCTGGCCGGCCGTAATTTCCGGTGTACCTTTCTCATCGTTTTCCTGTCTTCGCTTTGACAATACCGCAACATTTATATTTTTACCCTTGCGACGGTGAAACGTGACTGGGATTCGCTACAGGCAATACTCGCAATATGACGTTGCTCAAAATGATGAGTCCGGCAACCTTTTGCCAAATTGGTTTGCCACCGTCGTTCCGAGCAATCTTTTTTAGAGAACTTTAAAATCCTTTTCAATCTTTTTTAGAACTTTAAAATAGAGTATTTTATATTTACTAAAAAAGAAAATATGTGATCTTTGCCCATTTAGATTAATGAAAAATATCATGGTGCAGCTTTAAACTATTCAAAGCGTCTAGTTCTTCTCTTTCGGCTTTCCATCATTTCTTCGTTAACCTCATACTTCGCTGATGGATTTTTATAATGGCTTCCCGTTATGCGCGCCGTAATATCGATACAACTTCATATCGAAGCAATATCGGCTTCTAGATTCCCGTCCTCTACCTAGACTAGAGACAAGCTCGTTTCTCGACACGCGAAGCAATTCGAGCAACGTCTTTACGAAAAGACTCGGGGTATATCGGCGCGATATTGGCCGAAATCAGGGCTAGAATAAAAAAATTAAAAAAAAAACGGAAAATAATATAGTTATCATTTATATAAGATAAAAGCAATATATATATATAAAAGAAATTAGCTCAAAGTATCCATGCCTCTGTGCCGAGAGAGAGAGAGAAACTTTGACCCTTTTATAATTTAATTGTACATATTTTCGTTAACGAGATGATAATAAATTCCTCTCGATGATTGCATTTAATATTCATTCGCATGTTTCGCGTGTCTGATTTAACCGTTATATTTAACTCTTAAGTTTAATATTAATTGTTCAATTAAAATACAAATATCGCTTAGAATCTCGTTTAGCGACAAATGCGCAAGCAAATGCTGACGAATAACTCGTGATTCTTTGTCTCCCCGATAACGTCAATACCGCGCATAAACCGGCCGCGGCCGCGGCCTTTGATATCCAAATCCTGCCGCTTCTAGGCTAATAACGATTTCCGCCTCCGCGGTTATCCAACTTCCTCCTCGACCCCACCGATGCCCGAACAGCCATCCACCTTCGCCTCCTTCTACTTCTCCACCTCCTGTATACGTCTATTGTAATTTCCGCCACTCTCCGCTTATAACCCTCTCGCCCTTTATTCTCCGTTCGCTCGAACGGCTTCCTGCAAATAACTCACCGCTATTCGCACCACGAGACCGTATCAGCAGGACGATTTCTATCACTGTCGGGGTCCCCTCCCCCCCACCCCTCGTCGAGCGAATCCCCGGATATCGAATTCTTACGCGCCGGCGCCTGCAGCGGCACAATAATGAATAAAGCATCATCGCGACGGCGACTACGACTGCGACGCGCGACGACGACAACGACGACGAATCGTGAAAAGTGCATTTTTGCCGTGAGACGTCTCGTAAGATATTTTCTAAGGGACTTCCCGTTTATATCCAGACTCGCTCACTCGCGCGAACGATATTGCCCGCGACGTTTTCCACTTATATTTCACGCGCATGCCGTAAAAATGGAAATACACTTTAACGCATTATTCACCGCGCGCGTGCCCTTTTATGTTCGCGCGAATAACTCGGACGATCAATTCGCACTTCTATGTCGGATGGAACAAATTGGTTTCGAGATCAAAAATTTTTTATCTAGAATATCGTGAGAAAAAAAATAAAAAAAGATATTATTTTTCTACACAAATAACAGAAGTTGTGATAATAAAAAATTTACAAATGATTCCAATCGTACAACAATCCTTTTCCATTCTCTATTTTTTGATATCAAAATTTTATTCTGAAAATTATTGAAGCTGAGTTTCGACTCACAATCAGAATTTTTTTAATAAAAGCTATTATGTGTTCTAAACAATGAAAATCGACCATTTAAGCCATTTTTTAAATGTGAAATTTTAAACACACATATTATAAAAATTTAAACACTAATATATTTCATCAGTGAGATGGTAATAAATTCCGTGTCCACATGACCGCATTTCGCTGCTATTTGCGCGTTTCGCGTGCCCGACTTAACACACAGATTTTGCAAAGGACACTGCGATTCCTGGAATTTTCTGTACTACCAACGAGCTATGCAAGGAGCGTAGTAACACTCCTGAGACATTGCACTTGCAAGTTTCAGTAAATTGGTCTGTACCATTGTGTTGTCACGCGCGTATTCCTTTCTATTAATTCTCTGTTTCCATTAATGTTAATTTCTAGCCTATATTATAATCGAACCTAGAAGTGACTGAATTTGAATTTTTTATAGATACGATATATCGTACGTATGTGTGCACACGATATATCAATCGTACTTAGTTTATATATATAATAAGATTTCTGCGCTAAAATTTATTTTTCTGCTTTCTAAATAAACGACTGCCGCAAAAACCAGAAACCTTGTACGGCTTTCTGTCATGCGGTTCAGCATACGAGCCCTTCAATCCTATCCACGACGCGTGCTGATGGATTGAATTAACTGCACGGTACGTCGAGATGATAAATTA